CTTGTGTCAGCTGTTATGAGTTTTCCGGACTAAATGTTTACTGTGGCCATATTTGTATTAAAGTGATTGATCGCATAACAATAGGGGCTGTGGTTGCTACTCGGTGGTGGGGCCTTCAATGTATTATAAGCATATGCATATAAAAATATAAATATAATTAAGTTATGGATATGCGGGCAAAATTTAACGACAACAGAGCGAAATAAACAAATGTTGCTATCACGAATTTAGCCCTGACAAAGTTTGCCTAAGGATTTATATGGAAGCCCTACTTGGCAGCTGGCATGCAAACAAATTTATCACTAACCTTCAGCTTCCACTGCTAAAAACAATTCCTAGCAACTATATATATAGTAATTCCAGCTAAAGAAAGTCCAATTTGCAGTCATATTAGCCTTGCACTAAGCGTATCTCTGTAATAAGCCAAAAGCGTAGCCAACTTGGAGTCCAATTGCAACTGTTACTTAAAGAGCCGAGTGCAAAACTGCATTACGTATACGTAGCTAGACATTACGTATACGTGAACTAGCTGCACGTATTCGTCGGTTTGTCAAGCGCCACTAAAAATCGAACGTCCTTGGCTAACAACGGTAGTAAGAGAAAAAATAAAACGGAACTCAAGCAACTCATCGACTTGAAAAAAAAAAAAACACAAAAACAATTTGCTGTCAAATAAAGAGCGAACTGTTCGCCCACAAAGAAGCAAAACGTAAAAACACATCGCGTGACAGCACGAAGCATGCCCCAAATGCGATGAGCATAAGAATCTATCTAAATAAAAAGAAATTCAAAAAAAAAGGGAAAGAAAACACAAGAATAAGTCTGACTGCAGAACGGAAGCGGAAGCAGCCAAAAGGCGGGCGGGGTGAAAACCGCAGCTAGGATGCCATGGAAAATGAGTGGAAAATTAACAAAACGCCAACCGCGCGCATAGATAAAATTGCACGTGAAGTGACTCGCTGTGCAGACACAAGCCACTCGTAAATATGCAGGCGAAAAAGCCCCCTAGAGAAAGTCAGCCCTCAGTATATACATATATATATATATATATATATATGTCTGTCTGTCTGTCAGCTTGGTTAGCCAGAGGCGACCCTGACGCTTGGCAAATGCAAATACTACACAAATTCTGTTTGTTTTGTATTTTTTTCTTTTTTTAACACTAGAGTTTATAAAGTTAGCATATAGATATATATATATATATTGCGGTTAGTTTCTGGGGCTATTTGCTTTTGAGGTTTTTTTTTTTTTTTTTTTTTGTGGGTTAACTACAGTAAACGGTGTTTAAAAACAACTTCAGTACGTCTTCTAAATCGATTGCAGAAGGCACTCTCTGCTCCATCCGCGCTTAGACCCCATCTGCCCTGGGCCCTATGCAAATGTTTTTGTTGGCAGTTTTCACTTGATATTTAACTTGTTATCGCCTTTGTTTTGTCTCGTCCATTTAACTTCTTTCTGTCTATTATTGTTGCCAGTCATGCACAATTTATGGCTGTGCGTCAGCTGTGGGCGTGCCCCCTGTCACCAGCAACAGCAGCATTTTTAATGAATTCTATTGATTGGCCAGACCCAGCGCAGACCAGTTTATAATGCCTGTCATATAAGGTCGAAGGTCAGTGGGGGGCGCTGCTGCTGCTGCTGCTGCTGCTGCTGCTGCTTTACATTAAACGTCAAACTGCAAGCGAAAGCTCACTTGGAGCAGAAATTGCTATTGATTTGCATTCTATTAGCAAATGAATGGACAACAGCCGCCTCCGGAGGCGGCGGTCTCTCTTAAGTCTCCTGCATAATTTAAGAAAATATTGAAAGCAAATTTTTCACTTTATAAATATAGATTAGTTGCAGCTAATTGCAAATGCATAACGAATAATTGTTAAACACGACAGCCGAAGCTATTTCTTTTTTATGAATATTTAATTTGTAGTAAGAAAGCAAGTTCCTGGATATTGAAGCTAATCGCTTTAGATTTAAATATTAAAATAGTAGTAAACTTAAATATCTTGTTTTGTGCTAAATCTACAAATTATTTTAAATATATAAACAGCTTAACATCATTTGCCTAGCCAAATTTCTTCGCATTTAACAATTTATTAAGGTAAAGCCCTAAAAATATGTATATATTTTTAACTTCTTATTGATATTTTATTTAGAAAAAATTAAATGAAAATGAAATGAAATAAAAAAAAAAAAACAAAGTTTTTACCAGATAAAAATATCTCTCTTAAAACTATTTACGAATTTAGAACAAATAGTTGAACATGACACCCAAAGTAGTTTATGCTCTAAATATTTAATAGAGCCAAGAAAGGAAATGGGATTAGGATTTTTTTTTTTTTTTTCAATTTGACTATAAAGAGATGAATAAATTAGTTTTCTTATTTTTTGTTTTTTTATTCATTTCATTTTATTTTTTATGGATTTTGTTTACAGAAAAGACCATTTCAACTCTAGTAAATTTTGAAACATGTTCTTGAAATATTCCCAATTGGAAAACTCTCACAAAATGCAATGCTAATTTGAGTACTGAAGTACTTCAAATAACTCAACTAATAATTACAAACTTTTCGTATTATAAATCCAATAAATATCGAATAAATCTCAAAGATAAGCAAACAGCGTTATGCAATGAAACTATCCATTACAAATTGGCAATGAAGAGAAGCGCAGCAGCAGCAAACAACATTTACAGCCACACACACGGACAATGAGCAAGAGAAGAGAAGTTAAACAGAGATGCGGCGCCATGCGCCTCTGGCCACATATCATTGTGGCATGTTCATTATGTGAGATGCCCACTCTCTCTCACTCTATCTCTGTCTGTCTCTCTTTGTGCCTGTGTCCGGTTCTAATTTACACGCCCACATAATGTGGTACCAGATGCTGCTGGCTGGTCGTCCGACTGCCGGCTGCCGCCAAGTTCATTCATTTTGGCATTCATTGATGGCAACTGGACTTGGCAAAAGCAAACTGAGCGAGCGATGTGGGCGACGCTGGACTGGGCAGGCCTAAGTGCAATGCAACAGACAGACACCAGAGGCACGCACACCTCCACCTGCTGCTGACGCGGCATGCAAATGCAGTGCAAACAACCAGAAGAGGAAGAGCAACGACAGACAGCAACAAATAGCTGAATGCAAGGCACATGCCACAGCCAAAAAACAAAAACAAAAAACCAACAAACACAAAAAAAGTTTGTCCAGCAACAAAAAGTAGCAAAATATGACAGTGGGCACACTCCGTGTGGCTGCATCGTCTGAGTTATTGTGGCTTTGGCCATTCCAGCCAGTGGATGTTGGTGTTGTTGTTGTTGCTGTTGACATTTGCAATGTTGCAGCAGCAGCGGCAGCAGCAGCAGCAGGAAGCGGGGAGCAGCATGGCTGGGAAGTGCTGTATGTCGCGCGAATGGCAGATTTTCTGCAGTTTGTCGGCCTTTTGAAGTTCGGGCAAATTGCACGACAACGTTGCCGCCTCGCTGTCTGCGACAACACACAGACAACAGACAACAGGCCGGTGCAGGCAAGCAACAGCTACAACAACAACGAACGTTTAATTTCATTTTTATTCAAAGTGAAATATAAAAATTAAAAATGGCATTTAACGCGCGCAACTTTGTCGACTGTCATAAAGCGAGACATGTGCCGCAGCGTGTTGAATGTGGACAACGCGAACGGAAAAGGTGGGCAGGACGGAGGTGCCGATGTCGGTGCCAGGTGCTGCTGCTGCTGTAGCTTTCATTTGATGTGGCCAATATTATGACAGGGACGTTGGGCGTCGGCTGTAGCTGTTCCTGTTGCTTTGCTAACTTTGACGATGCTCGTGCGCTCTTGAGTAGCATTAATGTTTGATGTTGTTGTGCGCTAGAAGCTCTCGGCTGTGGCAATTAGAGCTGCGACACGGCGCCTTTTGCATGACCTGTGTGACAGGCGCTAAGGCAGTCAAAAAGGCTTTAAAGCCAGTCCGTTAAAGAGATCAACAAACACAGACGAAACTTTAGGGGCAGACAAGAGCATGTGAAAATATTGTGTCTATCTAGACTATTAAAAGAAAACATGAAATAAATTCTCTGGCAGACACAAAGGACTGCAGCAACTTTGCAATATTATCCTAACATATCAGGCATACGTCAGGTAAACCATGCTGCTATTCACATTACGTATACGTCAAGAGCGCCCGTGATAAGGGTACGCAGTTTCATAGAATTCTGTGTGTGTGTGTGTGTGTGAGATAGTTTATTGTTTGATATATCAAGCATACGACAGGTAAGGTGGAAAATCAGTTCAACAGATTCGAGAGAGCAAAGTTTTTCAAATTAAATTTCATATGAATATTACGTATACGTGACGTAGCGCATACTGTGTGGGTTTCACTTTCCAGACGCTCGCGGGGCAAAGTGCGAAAATGTTCAGCTAAACATTAATTATTACGTATGCGCAACGTCGGCAAATTATTAAATATTTATGCAAAAAATATATAAAAATATACAAATACAAAATTCAAAAATTGCAATAAACAGACAAGAAATATAAAAAAAAAAAATA